TCTCCTGGATAAAGTCCTGTTTGTTTGACCTTTTAACGTCCCCTCTGTCCCACCCTATGTAAACTTTGATGCTCTTTGTACAACATCACCTGACTTCCTCCTTCGCTCCTGTCATAATAACTACACCATTAGAGGTCACTGCCGAACAATTAACAATCAACGTAAATATGGGTCACAATTGCTGCTTGTTCAAATGACCTATGTGGTAGAATTTAGTAAGCTAACATTGCTAATAAGCACAGACACAAACGCTGTGTCTCAAAATCCATACTGCATTATTGTAAGCAGCTTAGTATGTAGTGTGTTCACATTGCAGACCAGCATGCAGAACAAATACTTTTTTTTTTGTGCTGTTGATTCACTCTATCCTCCCATAATGCAATTCACAATGGAAACAGAGAAGCAGCTCACTGCTGAAAAAAATCAAATAAATTAGGTGGAGATGAAACAGCTCCAATTTTTTGGGTGGGGACAGGAAAGCAAGTATTGAATCTATTATGTAAAGACACGATGCTTGTGATTTATTTGATGAATGATTTCATTTTTCAATGCTGTAAGGACCGCAAACAAAATTCTATTCATCTTCATTGTGCTGGGGCCAAGGCCGAACTCTGAGGACCAGATACCTCAAAATTTGAGCACATAAAGCCAAAACCTTTGTATCTGCATGGCTAAATACCATTAGAGGTAAATGAGGCGATGTTTTTTTGTAATTTGGGTGAAGTGACCCTTTAAGAAACCAGGGTGCACTCATGTCCAGGTAGAGTTGCTGCTAACAGCCAGTGTGAGCAAGCAGCATCAGTAAGAAAGAGGGTATATCACTCTTGTTGCTGTAGATGGCTGCTCACGTTCATATCAAAGACAGGACAGGTGGCTTTACCTGTTTTTAGCACTTCCATCCTCCCATAGCCTCTGAGCCACCTCTCCCTCCCTCTGTCTCCCTCTGTCTCCCTGTCTGATGCACACACGTCAGAAGTAGGCCTGTGTTTTTAGTGACAGGCAAAATAATTAAACACGAGATGCAAATCATGTCATCAACTTTAATTGGCTCTTAGTTTTACTCCTGACATGTTCAATCATCTCAGAGCGAGTTTTTAAGGCTTTTTGGTTGCACCACATAATTAAAGCTTAGAGGTTTACCAGCTAACTTGTCAACACATCCCATCATAGAAAATAGCAACAGTTGAAGAAGAATGATTGAAACTACCAATAAAAAGTCTTGATTTTTACCTCCACAGCTCTGCAGTGTGATATATTTCATGTTGTGAGCTTTCTTTTCCATTTTCTTTGAGGTTACCTGTTTGGTAAAAGGCAAATTTAAATGAATCTAAAGATCTGGTTGAAAAGAAGAATGCAAGCCTCCTATCTTTTGGATTAACTTCATAGCATTTCTGCTTCATACACCAGTAAACAGTGCAGTAACAGAAAAAGAATTAGCACAAACAAAGAAAGTCCAAAGGAAGACCAGATAACTTGTGACATCTGACATGTGGCAAAGATTAGGGAATGTAGTTGAACCCTTGACGCCACGAGCACATACTGGAGCTAGCTGAACTGTTTAGATCCCTTTTTATCTCCCGTAATGAATAAGGACTGATATCTGCTCTCTGACAGCTTCTGTGCACACACATCAGGGAATGGAGAGACATGTGGCGTTAATATAAATTCTAAAGGAAGTTTTGAGATTAATGAGCGATAAGGTCTTCCGGTTTTCCCCCGAGAGCTCGGGGGAAGTGACATCAGCGACGGCCAGTGCAGCTGAAATGAAGTCGTCTGTGTGTGTGTTTGCTCAACACATGGATTGTCTTTGTCTGGCTCTTTCTTCTTGGTTTTGAAGCTGAGAGGCTGTAGGATGCTGTAGCAGGAGGGCATAGGTGAAGGTCCTGCACAGCTGCACAGCGTGAGGGGGGGAGGGCTGTGGAAGAAAGCCTCCAGGCACTGGGAGTGAATTAATGAGTTTCTGAATTTATATGAATTTATCAGCACAAAGAACTTTATTAATCTAGATGTTAAATATACTACAGCGTTAAAGAGGAATATCATTAAATGGAAGAAATTGCCTTGGTGTTTCTGGGGGTCTAATGGCAGGTTTATCCATTAAGTGTTTTGCTTGATTCTTTTCCTGGGAATTAAAAGCCAGAAAATAAAAACTTGGAGCTGCTCCACTTTCAGGAAAGCTCTGTCGAGGTTTTCGGAATGTTATGAACAACTGAAATTTCCATCAGCTACTTGGACAGCAATGCTAGATAATAATAATCCTGCACATTTATAAGGAAACTGGATTTTCATCTGTTAAAAAAGGATCATCCATATTTTTCTTTGCTCTTGACCTTCTGTTCTGTGTTTAGTCTCTGTTAAACCACTGTACAGTAACTCTAAGCTATGTCCACGTGCAGACACACAGCTCTTTAGCTTTGAAGTATAGTCACTGTTTTGTTTGTTTGTCAGGTGCAGTTTTAAGTTTTTAAGTTGAAAATCATTTCCTGATAATGTACTATGCATCACATGTGGTGGGGAGTTTGGCTAAAACAGCATTTCAGTGTTCAGGGTGGGAGAACCAGAGCAGCTGTCCTGTTTTTTTCCCCACAAGTACGCCTCACATCATCACATGTTTTATTCTTAGAAATACTTGTGGTGTTTCTGTTTAGAGCGAATGGGCGAAAAAACTATCAAACACTCACAATCTTTGATTTAAAAAACAAGAAAAGCTGACAGTGTTCATGTAGAAGCCTGTATACAGTCCAAACACCACACACACATGCACACACAAAGTCCTAAAGAAGGTGAAAGGTATGGCAATCCTTTTCTGTGTTGCAGTCAGGATCCAAATTGGTTATACAGTTGGCAGAGTCGATGAAATATTGATTGAATTGACCTTTTTACTTCTGTAGTCTTTCACTATTCTACCCTGAGTGAGTTCAAATATTCATATTCACTCGATTGGTTTGACGTCAGCACACCCAGCGAGGGCAAATACAAAATTAACAGGCTCAGTCAGCATGAAATTATAGCACATCTAATGTACAAACAGCACGAGATCTGCATCTTCAACTCCACTTCACAGGAAGTCAGAATGTGTGGAAAAAAGAGATGAGAGAAGAGACTCCTCCCAATCAGAGGATGACCTGGTAACAGATGAACAGCTTCAGGGAGATTATTACCATTTATATTTTCTGACAGGGTCACAGAGTGCAGCATGTGCTCCCGGTCTTACTTCTAAAGGTCTTTGGGGCAGTGGGAAGACACAATGTCTGTTGTCACGGGATTTAAACAGTAAGAAATCAATAAACTATCTCAGTATGACCACACACTAACCTTTGAAGCACCCAAATAATGCTTTAACAGCCAATGGGAGCTGAGCATGCACTCCACTTCCTCAATGCCTGTTGGTTTTATTAGTTTGCTGTTGGGCCCCCATCCTAATTACTTTCCATTCATGCCTACAGAGAGTATGTCAGTTAAACAGCCTTGAGGAAGTGCTGTTTCATGTGCTAATCATTGGTTACAAAAAAAATCCACCAACATATTTGCACACACTGTTCCATGAGGGTCTGCAGAGAGATCTGAACCAGGCCAGCTGACTTCCAAAATATCTTTGTGGGTTCCATCCTTTCTATGTGGTAACAGCTGCAATCATTGCTAATAATGAGCGAGCTGAAAAGCATAGCAAAGCTAATTTGTTTGTTGGTTAATTGAAGAACGGCATGCAGATTAGGTTAATTGAAGAACGGCATGCAGATTATCTAGCGTAGAAAATATATTGTTTGGTTTGTTGCCAGTGAGCTGGTGGCATTTGATGGATTACACTTCCTCACAGATTTACTAGATATTTGTTGGAATCGTGGATCCCTGTGATGTGTTAATTAACTAAACAGTGATGGAGAAACATCAAAATGAACCAAAATAAGGCGTCTATATTGACATGGAAAAGCAATGAATCATGCCTGGCTTCTTCTCAGCTCCATGTGATACAGAAATGGAAAAACATCTGGATGAATTAGTTATGAGAGTGTCCACATGTGGAGTAGACCAACCATTATAAAATATTAACATTTCAACACACTGAATGTAAAAGGTTAGGTTATAGTGTATTGTTACACAAAATGCAATTTGGTCAACGTCAAGCCTGGGTGGAAAAACGCACCAGTGACCTCACTCCTTAGTTCCATTATCATTAATGTGTCATTTAGCAGTCAAAAGTCGTGGCAATAATAGAATTACTTTTAGACTCAGTGTCATTGAGCCTTACAATGAAAGAGCCCAGTGCACATAATGGGGAAGGAGAAGACAGAGGGAGCATTGCAAGTGGCCAAATGTCACAGGCGCACGAGTTCACACCACATGCACACACCCTGTTTTGTCAGTGACACAACAGGCACAATCTATACGTACATAATGAGTCTGTCAGTGCTTTATTGTAGCCAATATATCCTCCCTGTCCGGCAGGAAGGTGTCAGAGCAAACTAAACCACCACAGGAACTTAATGCAGCAGCAGCTTTGGTTTACATTCATGCTATTCCTTCCCTGTGTTATCTCAAAGCAAGATGCCTGACATTTTTCAAAGAGGAAACCAGATAGCACACAACACCCTGGAGCGTGTTTAGGCTTTATAATTCAGGCTTCACACACATATGCATACAAACAGATTCCTCATCCCACTGAAAGCACACAGGCACACATACACACGTGCACCTCACCACGGTTTCCAGCACCTTTACTAGGACACAGACACACAATGAGCCAAGACCCTGACTGAATGCAATCTATTGCCATGGCACCCGGCGCCTAGATGACCGGTATCTGTAGTAACTGAGCAACCTCACACCACTTCATTACTCTAAGCACAAACTCAGCTGCAAGCCTCTCCTCCCAGGCTGCAGTGGCAGCGGTGCCTGCCGGTGTTTGTTCGCCACACTCTGCAGGAAAAAGAAACCTCTCATCCTTTTGTCTTATTGTGAACCCCTAACGCCTGCTGTCATAAGAGAAAGGAGGGACTCACCGTGCTTTCCCCCCAACGGCGGAAGGCAGGAGCCAGGTGGAGCAAGCACAGGCTGCAGTGGCGGAGGAATCCCCCTGGTAGTGTATGTGTAAGAGTGTGTGAGAGGGAGCGTGGAAGTGTGTGTGTGTGTGTGTGCATGTGTGTGAGTGTGCGTGCGTGTATGTGTGTGTGCAGGGAGTCAGAGCTGATCCAGCAGATGCAGGCGGGAGCCACCAATAGAATGAGGAGAAGGAGAGAGAGAGGAGTGTGTGAGAGACGGAGGGAGGGAGAGACAGCAGAGGAGGGGTCTGATAGCATTACATCATGGACTAGGGAATGGTAGGTTTGCAGGGGGGGTGGGCTACGGGTGGGGGAAGGTGCGTATGTGTGTGTGTGTGTGTGTCCTTGTGTTTGTGTTTGCATCACCATCACTGTATATTCTCCCTCTGCAGTGGACCACAGGATGATTAAAGATTGTGTCCATGCTGCATACAGTGCAGTGTCGTCATGGTGGCTGCACCTGTGTGTGTGTGTCTGTGATGTGTGTTTGAGGTTGTGTACATATGAGCAGGACATAAACAACAGCTGTAATCAAAAAGGTATAATAATCACACCCTATTCCATAGATCATGTAGCCAATAATCTCTCCTGGTAACTATAAATAAGTGTGTCTTTCATGTACAGATATGTTCCAGATGTTGATTTTCCTTTCCTTTTTTCTATCACACAGATGTCACACAGGCTAACTAAGAGTTTGCTGCGAGTGGATATTAAAAAAAGAAAAATATATATCAAACCCACCCCTTTCCACCACACACTCAGAGCCACCAGCTAATGGCTCCCTTGTCATTTTGAAAAAGCACTGATGGACACCCTGTTAGGAAGTCACTGACATTTCAGGTGAGTGATTCCAAACACTTTCTGCTGGCTTTGACATAGTACATCTCTAAATGGAAGAGAAAACACACACACACACACACACACACACACACACACGCACACACACACACACACTCACACACTTTTTTTTTATCCTATAGCAGCAGCAATCACCTGTCTTTGTGCAGCCTGCCATCCCTGAAAAGGAACAGAGAGGGAGAAGGAAGGAGAGAAAGAGGGAGTGAGAAGGAAGGGCGTTAGTAGGAAAACAATGACAGCTCAGGGTCATCCTTGCACCTCTGCTCTGTCTGTACCAATCTGGTACCAGACAGGCAGAAAACGAGATAGGAGGGATGCAGGTGGCAGAAACACATAGATAAGGAAGTCTTTCCTCCCAGCTGTCTTCATTAATTTTCATAAGTTAGGTCTGGGTGTAGCCCCACAGGCTTTGTTTTGACTTATTCCATGTTTTTATGTTGTGCTCTCAGTCAGGATGCAGTTACACCCACGTCATGTCTCTTCGCTTAAACGGCGGCCACACTGCGAAGTGGCATTTGCTTGTCCATACAATACTGGTGTGACCGGAAGCTTGGTGACATAGTGACTACCAGGTCCTCAGGAAGGCAGCTCAGCCTTGCTTCCAGTTTTCCTCAGTGACTACTTGCGGCATTGCAGCAAAAAACTCCCCTGTGGCCCAAAAAGCATTTTATCCATAAACCACCATTATAAAAGAGAACTGTTGAAAGCACACCTCAAACTGCAAACAAGGCCAGCTATGACTCTTTCCATTATGAATGTTTGATCCATGGAGGTTTTATATTTCTAAAAGTTTCCTCAAGCCCAGAAAAGCTATTTCCAAATCTGTGATGTCATCGCAATGTAAAGTCTATTAGCAGGAACTCGCAGGTGGGGTCAGTGGGAGAAACACTATAGCACATAATAAGTAGGCCACATAAGTAACTAAACCCAGGAACTAGAAACTTTCTTTTGATGCACGCACGAGATTAGCAGTTCAGTTGGACTGAACTGGCACCATGTGACAACTCGCAGGGGCTAGTTAGCTGCTGTAGCTGATGAGCTAACTTGCTAGGCAGCCTGGTAGGCTCGTGCTAGTCAGTCACAATAACTGGTCTCTTCTCTCACTTTTGTTCTGTTTCCCCCTGAAATTTTGTTCACCGTTACACACATTTCAAATGAGTATAGCATCAGTTCAGGCAGGACACGTTGTCAGGCACGGCTCAGGGAGTCACCTAATAGATCACGTGATTCCTTTCTATGCAACCAATTGGCAAATCTCATTGAGGGCACCTTATTCAAACTGCTTTGGCCCGCCTACTGTTGCTGCTTCCTCTGCAAGCCACAGCCCACCTCCACCCCAGCTCCTCCTTTTCATATTATGTCTGACTTATCAATGTAATTTTGTCTTCATCACTGCTGGCTCTGTTCTGTTCCCGGGGGGTCTTTGCTGCTGCTCTCCCTGCCTTAGACTTTCCATGTAGGCACACTGAAGGGCAGGGAGGATTACTCCCTCTGCCTTAAGGCTTTCCACATAGGCGCATGGAAGGGCAGGGAGGTGTGCTCTCTCCACCTTCGGCTTTCCATGTAGGCCTAAGAAATGCAGAGAGGCCCCAGAACAGAGCCATGCTACCAAATATAATACTGCAAATGGAAAGAAAGTTTTTTTTTTAATAAAAGTGGTCCTGACTGAAATAATGTTTTTGAGGAGGAGGAGCTCTTTAAGTTAACAAGCTTGCATACAGTCAGTTCGCAAATTTGTCAGCTCAAATCAGTTGCCAATGGGACAGTAAGTTTGTTCAAAGAAGTGTTTTACCATTAACTGCTGTCTCATAACTATCCGTAAACCATGTCTCTTTTGTGGAACACTTGTCACTCTGACATAGGAAATTGAATAAATAGTGCAGCATAGCTAATAATGATGCTTCCTCTATTTCAGACTCTCCATCTTTCTGTCCCCTCAAAGGGCACAATTGTCTAGACAGCTTGATACTAGTCAGTGATGCGAATTTGCGTCTCAAAGATGAACTCTGTGTGATACACTTGCCATATATTATTTTATCACGACATGTCACCTTTTTAAGCCCCAGTGTGTGTAGGCCTTTAGGGATTACTGACCAAAGACAAGTTCATTAGTGTGATACTACAGGGGTGGCAGTGAGGCTTTGCTTGAAAGATAACAAGCACCATAGTTCAGCAGTGCAATGGGTTAATGCAACACTTATGCAGTTACCGTACTTTAAAGTATGGGAGGAAATCTCAGTGGGAAAACAAACTAAAAAGGTGAGCTGGAATGATTGATGATTGTTCTCTATTTACCATATTTCTGGCACGCTCGTTGTTATACCAGCCTTTTAGAAGTACTGCCACTCACACCACTCCTGCCAATATCATTTTATGAGGTATTAGATATTTTCACACACAAACCTTCACCTAATGATTCACGCTGCTGTTTCAACTTAAGGCAGATATTGGCAATAATCAGTAACTGGCTAAAGAATGGTCTCCTTTTATGTCTTTGTCCTCTCATCTCCCACGTAGGAATTGCTGACTGGGAATGCTCCATCCATCTTCTGTGAGATGGGCTGTCAAAGATCAGAAAAGTGCCTCATTTGAGCTAATTTCAACAAATTTGTCGGGCAATGCAGTTGGAATTTTACCAAAGAAGTACATTCACGGCAGTGGTTATTATCAAAGTTTACCATCATGTGTATATTCAAGAGTAATATGGCAGATTTTTTTCCATCTCAGCTTAGTGCCTTGTGAAGATGAAGCCATAATGCAATGAGAATTACTGCACTTCTATTTATTTTTTTTTTTACACCGGTTACGTCGACATGCCTGGTTGTTCTAAATAGGTTTGACCTTTTATTTATCACAAGCCATTAGAGATCTTGTTGACTCACTAAATGAAATGTGACGAAGGCTAATGGACCTGTGCCTACATGTGAGTGAATGTGACTCATATAGGCTACATGTTAGTCATAACATGTATACTGACTAGACTGGTTCCTGTGTATCGTAGAAACCACTGTGAAAGACTGAAAGTGACATTAATATATTATACATTTGTTAACACATCCATTCAGCTCAGACAAATGCAGTGTGAAATCTGTCAGAGTGTGAGAATTACGGTGCCAGGATATTGGATCAACACGCAGGATTCGTGGCAATTCAGTGATTGGTATAGCCTCCAAATGTGTGTCACATTTTCACTTTAACTGAAAGATAAAACAGCACCCCGAAGCTGTTTACGTTGCTTTAAAGCATGCTCATATCTTGCCCATTCTGGCCTGTTTTGTGTAAGTTCCAATGAAGCTGTATCTTCTGTGTCTTACGAAAACAAAACCATGCCCGGTTGGGAAGGGGCCACATCTAAAGTCAACATGGTGGCAGAGTTCCCAGGCTCTGGAAACTAAACACTAATTAAGACCGCTGACATGAGAATGGCAGGCCAAACTGCAATGGATGGTCTATCAGTGTGGCATGTGCACCTTCAGTGTTCCACTGGCTGTATTACACAGCATAGATTTGTTGCCACATTGCTCAATTTGTGATTTGATCAGTGTTTGTGGAAAAATGTTTGCTGTGGTAACTCAGCTAAAGGAAATACAGTTAATGTAAGAAGAGTTCATATCCTGCAGTTATGAAATTACAGTATGTGCAGATTATTAGGCCTTTTTCATAGCAGACACTGTCATAGTAGGAAAAACACGGATGTACTAACAATGGCTCTGTTCTGTTCAACTGTCCCAGTAAGCCATGACAGCGAGCCAGTGTGCGCTAAACTGAAGCAGTTAAATGAAATTCAGCCATCATTCATTTTATTATTTACACCTGGGCCTTTTCCTACTGTGACATGTCAAAATGTCTTCTGCCTCTCCAATATATATTTGGAAATGTGTAGTTTAGCTGAAAGACACCGTAAAATTAACTTTCATACAATAAAATGTCCTTCCCTCACAAACTCCTCCTTCTCCTACAGTCCAAGGTTCAGTGGTTCTGCAGCTGAGGTAGCTGTGGGTGTGTCCCTCAGTCAAGGCACAGCTGGATCAATAAAAACTGCTAATGGATGCATTTCCTATAAACACATTGTGAGACGTTTTCAGTGGGTGTTGGCCTCTGCCATGGTTTTCCCTTGGCACTGATTTGGTTTGTGATATTCATGGACAGAATCTAAAGACGCAGCTGTGGGGAGGAAGGGGTCCGGTGTTTAGACATCAGAATTGCATCTCTGCTCTTTGCAGATGATGTGGTTCTGTTGGCTTCATCAGACCGTGACCTCCAACACGCTCGGGGGTGGTTTGCAGCTGAGTGTGAAGCAGTCAGGATGAGA